ACAAAGACGTTTCTTAATCCAAAATTTAACAAATCTGACTTTTGCATTGCAATACCTCCACTCCTGGAGCACGTAGGAGAAAAGTAAAAACACTTTTATTATGCAAATCGTACCCAAGCTATCGATTAAGCGCAGTCTCAATTTCGTCGGATCAGCCGTTGTTGAGATCCGAAAATCTGAGGGCCCATCAACTCGTGTACTCGCGTAAACTTACACGGTCGGTCTCGCACGCGTGTACTAGCTACGCTTACACTTGGCGCGAGACACTACCGTGTCTCGTGATTGCTCATGCTATTCGGAACAGGGGCAACACGCCGCATATACTCGGGCCGAGCGTCGAGTGCGCACGTATATGCGGCGTGTTGTTTGTATGCGTGCGTGCGCACACACATGTGGCACAAAGAGCCATCTCCACTCTATCCCCCCCACCACTGCTGTCGCGATGTGGCTGACGTTCTCAAACTGCGTCATGTTTATCGCAAGGATTGAATGGAGTTTCGAGTAACAACCACCGCATCGAAACGTCTCACGAAAGCACCTGTAAATGTGTAAATATCATCTATATAAATTTAATGTTCGTGATCAGGCCATTTTTGGTCGCGTACATGGTTTTTCGTAATTTTCCCGTACAAAGTGGACCTTTAGACGTCGTTATTGTTTTTATAGGAAAACTGTACGTTTTCCCATAAAACTTGTACACTGATTGGATAATTGCACGTCGCGCATCGCATTGTCGCGCTGGTCTGCTGGAGTTATAACAACAGCTGATAGCAGCCATGATGCTTTCCAGCATGTGTGACTAACCCCTAATTGGTTAAAGAGCGTCCATTAAGGCCTTCACACACGAATCTACTTAACACATAATACGCAAACCGTAAGCCGTAGTACGTAAGCGCCATCACACACGACTGCCGTAAACTATAAGCTTCGACCACAGTCCACAGTCATCATCGGCATTGAAGAAAGATCACAAAGTGTCAAGTGCTGCTTGCTGTATCTTCGTTTTTGTATTGTATTTACGTTCTATTGTGAAAAGTAAGTAAAACGTTGATAACAATATATTTACATGTTTTGACATTTCAAAATTTACAATGTAAACTATTTGTATTTATATATCTTTACTATGAAATCATTTTTATATTCATGTTTTTAATGCGAAAGCCGCTTTGAATGAGAGAATCTGAGTAAAATAATGTTGAGCCTAATCTTTCGTCTCTTGTATTGTGAGACAAAGTAGGAAGCGTGTTTCTGCTGAGGCCAGGTAAATGATTTGTAGACGAGTTATAATAACTAGAGCTACTTTACTTTCACGAGCAAGAAAGAACACGACACGTGCGGTTACAATGTAAAGCTGTGTATTACACGGCGGTCGCGACACAAGTGAAGACACGCACACACGCCTATTCCCAACGACTCGAAAGCTGCGCATGAGCAGAAGGCGCTTTCAGAAAGTTCTGAACTATTCTCTACTAACACGCGTCACTCTCATCCATCCACACTTCCTCGCGTATCTGACGAGTAAAGGCGCGCTCGCATTGTCCGCTATATGTTTTTCTATTGGAAGCGCTGTAAACTATCAACAAATAATATTTATTTATTATTACAAAAAATCTGAAAAAAGTATTTGATATCGTTTTTTAGGTTATGCAGGATAATCAAGGAAAAAAATATTTTTGTAGAATACTTTTCCTGAATTATGGATGATGGAGAGGAAATGTTGCTGGGACTTTTAATTCTGGGTGCTGGTCTCATATTATTGTGTCGCTGAGAGAAAGAAAAAAAGTAGGCTAAGAGAAGGTGGTGGGTCCGTCCCATCAACCTTCAACGTAACGAGCAAGGAGATTATATGAACTTGTTGCAAGAAATGAAATTAGATCCAGTTATGTTTTTTCGTTACATGTCGTCCCGAATGACATTACCGCTTTTTAACAATTTACTCGAAAAAATGAGAGCACATTTGACGAAAAGAAATTGGAGAGCTTTACAACCGGAGCAGAGACTAGCTATTACTCTCAGGTACGTACAATATTTTATTTATAAATAATTGGACACATTAAACAGATAATTTTTATGCTTATCTAATAATCAATCTTTTCAATATTGCTACTGTACAGGTATCTTGCAACTGGAGATTTCCCATTGTCAATTGCATTAGCCTACCGCGTAGGTGAATCAACGATTTATAAGGTGGTAAAAGAAACTTGCGATGCATTAATAAATGTACTGGAACCTTTATATGTATCTGCGAAAACCAATCAGAAAAGAGTGGATAAAAATTTTCAATGGCTTTTGGAGAAACTGGAACTTCCCAAATTGTGTGGGAGCCATAGATGGCAATCATGTGCAAATTAACGCACCGCCCAATTCAGGAAGCTTATATTACAACTACAAAAAAACTTTCAGCACGGTGCTGATGGCAGCCTGCGACTATGAATACAAGTTTACACTTGTAGACGTTGGAGCTTATGGAAGCGACGCTGGTGTTTTTTCCCAATCCGAATTTGGACAAGCTCTGTTTGAAGGAGAACTCGACTTGCCAGAAAACACAAGAGTGCCTGAAAACAATTCAGAGACACCATGTTTTTTCGTAGGTGATGAAGAATTCCAGTTGACAAAAAACCTAATGAGATCATATTCTGGTCGAAATTTATCCGAGGACAAAGCAATTTTTAACTATCGACTCTCGCGGGCTAGAAGGACTATTGAGAATACTTTTGGAATTCTCGCAGCACGCTGGAGAATCTTCACTCAAACAGAGCCCAATTTTTTTCATTTCTAACAAAATGGCAGCCAATTCACATTATGACATTACTTTTGCCTCACCCTGTATAATCATGCTTTATAATATATTTGTTCCTTATAATAAAGCATTTAAGATTCATATAAAATTTGTAAGATTCTTTGTTTCCTACTTCTTTTTTCAGCTTCTGGTAAGGCTTCTAACTCTGCAACTATTAATGAAGCAAATGAATGATCAGTAGTGCTTGTAGATTTTGAATTACGTGGATCTATGAAACGTTGCTGCATAACCTGAGTCAAATTAAAAAAGGATTCTTCCATCTTGTTCAAGTCTTTGGTTTTCTTCATGTTTAACGTACATTCTCGTTGTGCAAGTGCTGGAGATGGTGTTGATCGTGATCCACTTTGTAGAGGTGCTGGAGATGGTGTTGATCGTGA